TATTATATAAAAAATTAGTAAAGGAATTCATAAAGAAATATAAAATATGATATATATAAAACATGGAGGAGCAAAGTATAAATGTAGTGCTTTTACAATGTGTTCAAACTTTAACCATCAGCTTAATACAGACTGTTACATACTTAGGATTTTATACATTAACCTCATGGTAACAAACTGAGAACCTATGATAGATATATAAAAAAATAAAAAAGGAATCCATGCGTAACACTAAAGTCGTCTATCACAAGGGAAGAAAGAAGAAAAAAGGAGCAGAGAACTACAAAAAACAATTAACAAAATGGCAGTAAGTACATGCTTGCCAATTAATTACTTTAAATGTAAATGGTCTAATGTTGCAATCAAAAGACATAAAGTGACTGAATGCCTTAAAAAATAAAAAAGACCTACCTATATGCTGCCTACAAGAGACTCATTTCAGACTTAAAAACACACAGATTGAAAGTGATAGAAAAAGATATTGCATGCAAATGGAAGTGGAAAAAACAAAAGCAAGGTAGCAGTACTTACACCAGACAAAATAGACATTAAAACAAGGGCAGCTGTGAGGCTCTGAGAAGGAAGGGCTAGGTGGGGAGGCGGTGGCTGCTTGTTGGATGCAGCCACAGGTCAAGAGACCGAAGGGCTCCTAAAGGACGCCCACTGGCCCTCCTGGCCTGGCCTGGGTGCCTAACCCGAACCCAGCCATGGAGTGCTGCTACAAGCAGCAAAGAATGAGGACTTGGACCAGGCCCAGGACCAAGATGAGCAGAAGCTACTGCTGGACCCTAGAAGCTCCTCTGCCAAAGCCCTCAAAGGAGTTGACTACCACAGCCTACTTTCCACTCACACAGATGAGCAGGGCCTGCTCTCCTCCTCTTTGCTAAGATAGCCCCCAACATTGTTGACACATCTGCTGTGGACTCCCAGAGCATGGAGCAGCATGAGTACATGGACTAAGCAAGGAAGGCAGCACAGCACCCACTTGGCTATGCTGAGCAGCAGTCTGCCCCACCGGAAGAAGCTGCTGCCGCCACATCTCTCACCAGCCAGCCCCACCAAATGGCGGCCAGCAAGCCCATCCCCTTCTCCGACTTGCAGCAGGTCTCCAAGACAGCTGTTTATGCCTACAATGCACTTTCTCAGATCCAAGTGGATGCAAAAAAGGAGCTGGTTGTACAGTTTGAGGCTCCTTGAAGAGAAAGATCCTTGAACAGGTCCTCTTCTCGCTTTATCCTACCTCCATCCTGCCTCCCCCAACCCTCAGCCTCTCTGGCTCACACAGAACCCTGACCTGCTACTTAATCACAGATAAGAGTGTGGAAGAGGACAAGGCTGAAAGCCTGAGCAAGTAAGGATGGAACAAGGGAGGGTAGAAGCATTTGGGACTGGTATTCAAAGCCCTGGCCAGGGATGGGTGGGATCAAAAGGTCAGGGCCTAGAAGGTCTTCACTGTCACTGGAAAAGTAGAGGTTCGACCGTGAGGGTGATCCCTAGGGGGCCTATGGGTCCCCTTCCCACCTTCTCTTGGCCTCACTCCTGTCTTCCTCTCCCTGACTTGGTGCTCACATGCACCTCACTAGGATTTGTTACTACAATATTGGCTATATTTCCTATGCTGTACATTACATCCCCATGACTTATTTTATAACTGGAATTTTATACCTCTTTTATCCACTTTACCTATTTTGCCCACCTCCTAATAACCTCCCCACTTTGTTAACCAAGTTTTTTTCATCTAGGAGTCTATTTCTCTTTTTTGTTTATGGATTTGTTGCGTATTTCTTCATTGATGATTTGCTATTCTCATTTGTTTCCCCTTTTCTCTCTCGATATTTATTTATTTATCTCATATTTATTTGTACTTTTTTTCGCTTACCGCATTCTGCTTTTTAGTATGATCATTTTATCCACTCAGTCAACATGTTGAGGCGGCTTAGAAGTGAGGGTGGCATGAATCTAAGTTTGAAGGTGAGAAGTAACTTTCTTGTAAGGTTTACTTATTTGAGAGAGAGCACGTGTGTGAGCACATGATGGGGGGGGGGGCGGGTAAGCAGAGGGAGAGAGAATCTCAGACGCCCTGCTAAGTGCAAAGCCCGACAGAGGGCTCAGTCCCAGGACCCATGAGATCATGACCTGAGCCGAAACCAAAAGTCAGATGGTCAAAGGCCTGAGCAGCCCAGGCACCCCTGAAAATGACAAGTAATTTTTAAAATGTCATCTCATTTAATCCTTTCGACATTTTAAAGACTTATTATCATGCCCTTTTTCAGATGGGGAATCAGTTAAGAAATGTATGTTAGATTATTCGCTCAAAGCCAGACAACTCCAAAAAGATGGAACTGAAACTCGAGACCAGATCTTCTGACATCATCTCCTGCATTCTTTCCATTATTCTACATTAACTTCTTGCAGGATTGGCAAGTAAGAGGTGTTCCTGCTGAATCCTCTTGTTTTTCGTTTTTTAAGATTTTATTTACTTATTCTTGAGAGAGAGAGACAGAGAGACAGAGAGAGGCAGAGACACAGGCAGAGGGAGAAGCAGGCTCCATACAGGGAGCCAGACATGGGATTCAATCCCAGGACTCCAGGATCACACCCTGGGCGGAAGGCAGGTGCTAAACTGCTGAGCCACCTGGGCTGCCCTGCCTCTTGTTTTCTTTGTAACCCCGGTAGGTTCTGGTTTGATTATTTAATCAGAATTTGAATGCCTTAATAGGAACTGCACTTTCAGCCCTCCAAGGTACCCCACCACTCCCTGTGGTCTAATTCCGGGTTGTCTCCCATATTTAAGTGTCCTTCTTGCCCTTTAAGGCTCTTGAATTTTTTATCTGAAATCGTTCCTTAGAACTCTGTTTTGGAATCCTACTTCAAAAGTCAGGAAGGCTGCTGAAGTCACAGTGCATCCACTCGTCTTACTGTAAGAATTAAACCAACAAATAAAAACTGTGAATTTTCCGTTACCAAAAAGAAGAAACCTCTACCCCTCTTTCCTTTTCTCAGAGGACTTTTCTTGAGCAAATTTGTACTTAATAAATCCTTCCTTTGTCTCTTTCAAAAAAAATTTTTTTTAAAGATTTTATTTACCTATTTGAGGGAGAGAGCAAGAGCACAAGGAGAAAAAGCAGAGGGAGAGGGACAAGCAGACTCCCTGCTCAGCCTGGAGCCTGAGGCGGCCTGACCCTGTTGTGCCCAAGATTGCGAATCAGAGAAACCACCAAGGAGCCGACACCGATGCAAACACACGAGGGTTTATTTACAAGCTCGAGCTTGGGTCCAAATGTACCCGACATAGCGGAGCAGGGACTTGGACCCGAGGTGGGTTTCAGCTTAGTTTTACGGGCTGGTCTAGGGGACCTCCAGAAGGGGTGGAGGGATTTCTCAAGTTCTTTCTTTCTTTTTTTTTTTTTAAATAATAAATTTATTTTTTATTGGTGTTCAATTTGCCAACATACAGAACACCCAGTGCTCATCCCGTCAAGTGCCCCCCTCTGTGCCCGTCACCCATTCACCCCCACCTCCCGCCCTCCTCCCCTTCTGCCACCCCCCCTAGTTCGTTTCCCAGAGTTAGGAGTCTTTATGTTCTGTCTCCCTTTCTGATATTTCCTACCCATTTCTTCTCCCTTCCCTTCTATTCCCTTTCACTATTATTTATATTCCCCAAATGAATGAGAACATGTAATGTTTGTCCTTCTCCCATTGACTCATTTCACTCAGCATAATACCCTCCAGTTCCATCCACGTTGTCGAAGCAAATGGTGGGTATTCATCGTTTCTAATGGCTGAGGAATATTCCATTGTATACATAGACCACAGCTTCTTTATCCATTCATCTTTCGATGGACACCGAGGCTCCTTCCACAGTTTGGCTATTGTGGACATGGCTGCTAGAAACATCGGGGTGCAGGTGTCCCGGCGTTTCATTGCATTTGAATCTTTGGGGTAAATCCCCAGCAGGGCAATTGCTGGGTCGTAGGGCAGGTCTATTTTTAACTCTTTGAGGAACCTCCACACAGTTTTCCAGAGTGGCTGCACCATTTCTCAAGTTCTGTTTACATTCTGATATGGGGCTTTCAAGGGCATTGAGCTCTGTTCTTATTCTAATATGGGGCTTTCTAGGACGTTAAGCTGTAAGCTGTTTTTTTTTCCTGTAGCTGAAGTAAGGTAAAGTTCAGCTCTTATTCACAGGGGCCTGGGATGGCTGTACTTGTGCTAACACTGAACTCAGAGTGGAATGGCCTTAATATTCTCGGCCTCCACAGACCCCACCAACCTGAGCTCAAGGCCCGGCCAGATATCAAGAGTTGGAGGATTTAAAGGACCGAGCCACCTAGGTACCCCTCCTTTGTCTCTTCCGTATATACATACAATTTTCTAAAAGCCCAAAAGCCTCTTGTGAGGTCCAAGTCTCTGAAATGTAAATATCAAGGAAGATAGTGCCCCGTCTCCCCTCACCCGTAGGAGTTACCGCCTCAGCGCCTTGCTCCAAGCTTTTAAGTACCTGCTTGTCAGAGTTTTACTTTTCTTTTGGATCACGGCAATTCACTAACAAAGTGGGTGGCCACGACAGGGGTGACTTACCGAAGAACGAATACAGCAAACTCTTACACGAGAACGCGCATCGCACGCGTGGTACCTGCCCGGCTGCTCGGTTCTCGGCAGTCGCAGTAGCGGCAACGCCTGGCACGCCCCTCCGACTTGGGTCTCAGGATTACTGAGTAACAGAACTTATTTCCCACCCCCCCACACCCAGGTTTGTAGCGATTTTCTAAGATGTCAGGAGGTTTTATGTTTAATTTCTCCTCGCCAATATCAACTGAGTGACCTCGACGACGCCCACTCCCGACGGTAAAGGAGGAGGGCAAGCGGCTCTTCGCTCACCTCAGAGCTGGCGGCGCGGACCCGGGCGAGGTAAAGATGGCGGGCTGGCCGCCCGAACCACGACTCCCAGCATGCCCCGCGCTCCCAGCGCGCCCGCCTTCCTCTTCCGGTCCGCGGGCTGCTGAAACCGAAAGCGTTGTGCCTCGGGTGGCGGGCAGAGATTGGTTCACCTTCACCTGCGCGAGTCCCAGCCGACCCGGGCGCGGAGCCGGCCGAGCGGTGAGACATGAACGGAAGAGTGGATTACTTGGTCACTGAGGAGGAAATCAATCTTACGAGGGGACCCTCGGGTACGTGCGCACAGGTGGTCTCCGGGAGCAGGGTGCTTGAGGTTGTAATTGCAGAGCAGACAACCTCCTCTGCTGAGCCCCGGTTGGTTTGGCCTTGGAGCAGACAGGCCCCAGCCTAGAGGTTCCCTGCGACGCTTTGAGCACGTACAAGACCATATTGGCATCCTTCGTTAGCCAGACCCGGATCTGAGGAATCCACCTCGTTTTTCAGTCGGATTGTCACATGTATTTATAGTCAGGGAGGGTTTCCTTGGCGGGCAAATTGTACCAGAAAGTTCTGCCCCAAGCCTGCTTTTTAACACCACACCCCTCCTTCCGTTGCCTGCTTTTTATCCCTGTTCCCGTGAGGACCTGTTTAGTAAAAAATGGGAGCGTACACGGTGTTGACTGTAAAAGCATGGCCGTTTTTTGTTTTGTTTTTGTTTTTTAACTGCTGGAATCCCTCCCCTCCTTCTTTTCATTTTTTGGGAAATTCATTTAGAGTGTCGACTGGAATGCTAAAACGCTAAGAAACCTTAGAGATCTGCCACAGCACTTTTTAAAGCTTACTTGGGCCTCAAAATTACCCAAGGTTTCTCGGTTATGCTTTTGCTTTAAAAAAAAATTTTTTTTTCCTAGGTCCCATCTCTTAGGAAATTGGATTCAATGCAGGTTTTGTTTGTTTGAGTTGTTTCTTCTCTCTTTTTTTCTTTTTTTCAAAACAAGCACGTCCTGTGATTCTGATACCGCTAAATCCTCACTTAGCTTTCAGTCATCTTTCTCCTCAAACCCCCGTGTTTCTGCCAACGCTCTCACTCCACTGGGCTCTTAACGCATTATATGCAGCCTGCATTGGGTTTTGTTGCCTCCCCTTACAGCTGTCTGCTGATTAAGAGCTCTGGCTCCGGGATTATGTAGATCCATCTGGTATCTAACCTCTTAATAGAACTTTGACATCGGTTGTCTGCCTAACTCTCCTGATAGAAGCTAAGCCTGAGTTTCTCATCCGTTAAAATGTGCGTGATAATAGAATATATTTCATAGGGTTATGAGAATGAAATGAGTTAATCTATGTAAAACGCTCAGAACATTGCCTGACACCCTAGATAGCGCTGTGTTTGCTTCCATTGTTGTTATTATTAACAGATGAATAGCTAGGTTAGCACAAAAATCCTGCTAAATAGTGTTATTCCAAGAGTCATCAAGTACCATGAGCTCTAGTTCTGAAATGTTTCCATAAATCTCTGCTCCTTTTGGCTCCATTACCATTTACTAGAACAGTCCATCATCTTGTCTCATGTGGAATTGTGCAATATCTTGAATACCACTTAGAGACTGTTCTTCATAAAATATACCTTTCAGAATCATCCATACTTTGCCTTTTTTCTTGTCATAGAAGATTGGAAGTCAGCTTCACTTATGGATGTAATTCATTCTAATCTGCATGACTTAATGTCCTGCTTCAGAGGAGCACCTAAATGTTTGTTGAATGCTCATTCAGTGTGCTCAGTTTTTTTTTTTTACTCCTTCTTCCTACTTTATATAAATTTCTCCTTTTTTTTTTTTTTAAGATTTTATTTATTTATTTGAAAGAAAGAGCACAAGCAGCCAGAACCAAAAGGAGAAAAAGACTTTGATGAGCAGGGAGCTCGACAGACAGGTCAATCCCAGGACCCTGGGATCATGCCCTGAGCTAAAGGCAGACGCTCATCCGACTGAGCCACCCAGGTGCCCCTCTCCTCTCACTCTTCATATTTATTGACTTCTGAGGCTAATATGGAAAAGTATTGTTAAGCCAAATCTGCATTCTTGTACTGTTCATCCACTGATTCTTGTTCCTAGGGCCAGTTAAAACAATGCTAGTTCCTTTTCTGATTATCCTGCACGTATTTAAAGACATCTAGTTGTTCTGCTCCTGTTTTGTCTTTTTCCTCTATAGCTTCAGTATCCCTAATTATTATATTAGCTGCCTTGATGTGATTTGGGATTTGATTCGTGTCTCCTAAGAATTTAATGTACTTTGACATAGTTCTTTTGCTGTGGCATCCACAGCAGAGCAGAACTCTGATATTATCTTGGGTGTTCAAGTCACTGAATATATTTTTAAAGTTCAGTGTAATATCACTTCACCTTTTCTGGAGTTTGCATAGTAGGGTTGACTAATGTTCAGCTCACTATTCTCCAAAATTTCTGATCCTGCTGATCTTTGAAACCTAAAGTTCTTAGTGTTGACATTTTTCTGAATCATTTGAGTTAGGACAAACTTCAAGGGACTAATTAAAAAGAGTAATTACATCTAGTTAATATATTTCCCTCAAAAGTAATTTATTTCTATAGTATATGTATGTTTATTCACAATGAATATTTATTTACCAGGTGACTCCTTTAATTTTCCTAAGTATTTTCATGTCTTACTCATATAAGTTGATAAATTTAAGAGTTTAGGAGAATAGAGTCACAAATTTAGGATTGAACTGGGATAAAACAGTCATTTGATGTTTGGTTGCTTCAGTTATCAAGAGAATGTTTCAAGTTTCTGTCACCTCTCAGAGCTAGTTACCTGGTATGTTGTAAGAAGTCTCACATTCTAATTCAACTTTTCTTTACTGTGTCATCATGAACACACAGAGGGAAGAAGTCATTTATCACCACCAGAAACTTCTAGTAACTTTGGTAGGGTCATAGAGATCTTTTGTCCTGTAGAAGAACTATGAAAAGCCACTAGTTATAAATATGTATTTCTGTTTGTAGGCAACATTGTCACTCTGTATGTACAACTTCCTATGCAGAGACCTGATAGTTTAATCAGGTAACAGCAAAAAATGCATATTCTGCACTTTTGTGCCAGTGTTCTATCAAGGGCAAGAGTCTTGAGGTATTTTCAATGTTTGGGCCCATTTTGCAAGGTAAGTTAGCTTGTTCTGTGTGATCATGCTTACTTCAAGGGAAAAAATGAAATCTTAGGGGAAGTGAATATCTGGTGAGGCAGAAAGAGACTTGGCATGTAGCTTGGCATCTCTCCCATTCCTACCTCCTCACTTAGGCTGGATGACTTTGGAAGTGTCTTCCACTTCTAAGAATTTATTATTTTTTTGGCCCATCTCGCATGTTATGTTATAACTCCTGCCATTTTGGACTAACAGTGGGTGATCTGAAGAGGTGGTGGTCACAATTTTAAATGGTTTCAAAGGTTTGAAGAATTCACCTTTTATCCTTTATGGAACACCGTTGATCTTTTTACTTTCTATGGGTGTTCAGCTTGGTTACAGTCTCTCAGCCTCCCACATTGTCCTTTATCAAATTAAGTGTTCTTAATTTTGAAAAGACCCAGTTACTCTAACAAGTATCACAAGAATCTAATCTAGGAGCCCCCCTCCAGCCCTTCCCTCTCCCCTCCTGGTATCCTCCCCTCCCCCATAACAGGTAGCGATTGACCATAAAGACAACCCTCTGATCCACTGGATATTAGAATTAAGATTCCTTGTTCAGGACTGAGGCCTCAATGGGTTTCAGCAGGTTGCTCCTGATATCTTTAAAGAGGGAAGAGAATCCCTATTTTTTTACTTTTTTTTTTTTTTTTTTTTTTTTGCAGAGAATTGTGGATTAGTTTGATGTTTTAATAATGAATAATTAGAAGGGTATTATATTTCTGGTACTGTGCTAGTTACTTTATATATTAACTCATTTCATCTTCACAGCAACCTTGAGTGCTTAAGTGATTCATCCACATTATTAGATGAGAAAATGATCTCTCAGAGACGTTAGGGATTTATCCAAGTTTTAAAGCCAGTAAGTTTAACATAGATCTGTTGATTCTACTATTCCATATACTACCTTCCATTAAAGTAGCCGTTTCTAAGGAGTTGTCACCAGCCTTTCTCCTGACCTTTATTTGCTTATATTATGCCTTAAGGATTTGAGGCATCTTAAATGACTAGCATAGTGGAAAGTTTTCATAGTTAGCTGTTGATAGAGCTGAGGGCATATCAAGGTAAGAACCTAAAAACAAGAAACCATATTAAGTCCAAGCATTTAAGTCTCTACAGATTGGTCATGTGTTTTGCATTTGACCTTGACACTGTTGCTAAGAGTTTTCTGAACTGTTCCCTCATGTACCAAATAGATCTGACACTAAGGTGCACTATCTTTGTCCTGTTTTCTCTTGCTTGCATAAAGTCTTACCCTCATGGAATTTACATTCCAATGGAGACATTACATTCACATGTGAAAGTGAAATTTCAGTGCAAAGGATGGTTAAGGACTATGATGAGTGTGTATGTTGTCAGAGGGCAGAAGAAATGTGGTGGGGTGTGTGTTAATCTGACCTTGTGCTGGAAAAGTTCAAAGAATGGAGGCATTGATAAGGGCCAGACTCCTCAGAAGGTAGAATTTGGGGCTTCTGGGTGGTTGAGGTCATGATCCCAAGGTCCTGGGTTCGAGTCTCTATCCGGCTCCCTTTGAGGAGCCTGCTTCTCCTTCTGCCTATGTCTCTGCCTCTCTCTCTCTCTGTGTCTCTCATGAATAAATAAATACATCTTAAAAAAAAAAAAAGGTAGAATTTATGTTGGTCTTATAGATAGTCTGTAGACCAGTGCCAGGCATAGGGAAGGGTATGGCCTAGGTAGTAATAGTAAAGGGAAAATTAGTAAAGCATATTCTGAGGTCAGTGAGTATACCAGCCTGGATGGAAAGGAGCCTTCTTTTAGGAGAGTTAAGGGAGATGAGGTTGCTGAGGTACTTAGAGACTGGATTATAAAAAGTTTTAATGCTAGAGTGGAAACTTAACTTTTCTCTAAGGTTCCGTTTTGATTCCTTCCCCTTCCTGTTCATTGATTATGACTGAATTCAAGAGTTACCTCCTCCAGGAAGCCTTATAGGCTAGCTGCCCCCTTGTTAATGAATGTCATACACCATTTATTGAGTGCTTATCGTATATTGTCATACTAAGCACTTTGTTTCATGTACTCTCAACAAGGAACAGATGAAATGGTTATTATTCCATTTTAAAAATGGGAAAACCT